CTTTTAGAATTTGGGGGAAATATTCCTACAACCACTATTTTTGGAGGATTTTCTCCTGAAACACTTAATTTTGCATGTTTTTTGTTATATTTCATAAATAAATAATTACTTAATTTTAATTGACCCCTAGCTGCACAAAACAAGACGCTGTTTAATCTTGTTCTCAAGGGGAAGGAGGATGAGTACTGAGTAAATAGGAATAAGTTTTCATAATAAACTTTTTTTTGAAGTGTCTTCTTAAAAGTTACTTAATTTCTTATGATGGCCTTTCTGATATAGGAGTTTTGTTTTATAAATATATTATTTTTTTCACTAATTGTAAAAATTTTATTCTTTGAGCAAATATATTGCTATTTAACTAGACTTTATGCAGCCTTTTTTAGATAATATTGCATTCCGTGCCACCTTTTTTACTTATTATCAGAGAACTAAAATAAAATTCACAGCTTTTCCTATTTTCATTGGTGGATTTAAAATTTTAAAAATTGCAATTATTTTGAAGCACAGTCGTCTAAAAAACGTTTTGATTTGGAATTTTTTTAGTTCAAAAATCACAACAGACAATTTGCTTAAATGAAGTAAAAATAAAGTAAAATGGTGGCATGAAAATTATTATCAAAATTCTAATGTCTAGTTTTTATATACGTTTGTCTCAAACAAAAAAAAATAATAAAAAAGGAAGTTGTGAAAAGAAAAGAAATGTGATGCACATTGCACATGTTTCCAGAACGATTACATTTAATTCATAAATTCGGAAAAATGCGTTTAACTAATTTTCACTGCTTCCCTAATAAGTTGAACCCAATCCTTTCATATTGTTGTACTTACATTTAAATGTTACCCATTACTTATAAATCTATAATAACCTACAGAAATAAATAATGTTTTCAATTTTTCTTATTTTAATCCATTACGGAGAATCGGATGAATAGAAGATAGTAAATAAATCTCTCAATACAAATATATATCCTGTAAATTATAGACATTATCAAACAAAGCGTAAAAATAGAAAATACTATAACGGTAAAAAGACGAAACCTAATAAATTGTGGAATTGTTTAACCGTTTAGCATAAGAAAAAATTAACTGGATTGTTTAAAATATTTGGAAAAATGTGTCAGTACTAGCTAATTATTAGTAAGAGGATTTATTTGTATCAGGATTAGTTGTTCTGATCAAGCTTTCTGAACTAATTGTCTGCCGTCTTCACAATGAGTTGAAAATTTAAAGGGGTATCTGCAACGAGGTTATAGTATATAGAGTAATGGGTATCTGCAACGAGGTTATAGTATATAGAGTAATGGGTATCTGCAACGAGGTTATAGTATATAGAGTAATGGGTATCTGCAACGAGGTTATAGTATATAGAGTAATGGGTATCTGCAACGAGGTTATAGTATATAGAGTAATGGGTATCTGCAACGAAGTTATAGTATATAGAGTGATGGATATCTGCAACGAGATTATAGTATACAGAGTAATGGGTATCTGCAACGAGGTTACTTATATAGAGTGATGATGAACGCTAATATTTCATCGTTAATAAACTGTTCTGAGAAAACTGAGTAAAATCCAAGATACAAAACCTCCCCATACACTTGTACTCCGAGAGCGTACTGCATATTTGATGTTTGTACTGAATCATTAGGCCATAATCTCAAGATATCCTTTAAGTAAACTATACTGTACACTCAGGCTAATACACACGGAGAGGTAGCTAAGATCCAGCCCCCCTAGGGGTATCTGATACTCATTCTTCTGTTTTTATGTTTTGATGAAAAGTTTCTTAAAAGAATAATTTCTTTAAAGTTTGGAGCAGTTTATTTTAGAAAATGTCTTTAATTACTTCCCTCTATTTAAAAAGAGAACATGTCCAATCTATAACTGCATATTTTTATAATCTTAATCTGATCAATAATGTGGAAGATAAGTTCGTTTTTCAGACTTAAAAGGAGTTTAATTCTGAAAATTAACTCTGCTGTTTCTGAAAAAGAAATATTCAATTTTACGAAGAAACCACTGATGAACATTAAAACTCGGGCCCGGCGTTGCCCGTGGATTTTTTTTTTAATTTTGAAAAATAAATTTTATTTTTTTAGCCTATAAGACCCCCCGGCCTCCCATGAGTGTCCACAAAAATGTCAGTCCAATTGGTCCAGCCGTTTGACCGGCTATATGCAACATATGTATTTACGAATGTCTTGTTTTATTATATAGATTGATCACACAAATCTATACAAAACAAGCTCTTCGCATAAATTGTTCATAATCGTTTATTCATTTTATATCTGTTAAAAAGCCTATATTTGTTTGTATGGTTAAAAATGTGTAAAAGGAAGAAAAGACAGGAAAATAATAGATTATAACTAGGATATAGATGGAGTTATCATGGTTTACCAATAACTACCAGTCTTACATTCATCACTATAGGAACTGAGTTCTTTCCACGAATTCAAATTTTCTAATCCTTATATATTTTTAACCTGATGGTGTCAACCTTTTTTATATTTCAAACATTGATTATCAAATCTGACAGAATTTTTAGTCTAGAGGATATGAGGATTACAAAAATAAAGTGTATGGCAAGAACTTTGTTTGAAACATATTCACTCTAGTATGCTGAGTCCGTTAGCGCCTGATCCAATCAGGGTTCAGCCATGTGTTTGGTGTCTATTCCCAACCAATAGAAATTGCATGGCGGTAACGCCTATCTTAGTATCTAGCTCATTATCCAATTAGAGATAAATCCTTATATCGGCGCTATAACACTAAATGGAAATATTTACTTCTACTGAAACTATAGTGATATTAATCATTTTACACAGGTCGGTCTTAAAAAGCTACAAAAACGATCAAATTTTCATGCTCTGTTTCAGGTTGATATTGACCGCACAGAGGGGTAGTTAAACTATCTGTTGCTAGTTCAAACCTCTCTCTACATACAGAGGGGTAGTTAAACTATCCGTAGCTAGTTAAACTTCATCTCTCTACAGAGGGGTATTTATACTATCTGTAGCTAGTTCAACTTCCTCTCTCTCCTTTATAAATTCCCAACTCATAATTTCCAGATTAAGAAAAAAGATCTGTTTACCGTAATTTCAATTGACCCTAGATTTACAAAGTCAGAGGTTCGATTCACAATGGTACCCGTCAAACCTTTGTCTGGGCAAATGGAGTTGCTCTCGAACCTCCTCTCTCATACTCCTACCTTGATATTTCTACATCTAAAATGTTTTTATTTAACAAAAATTTAATGAAAAAACAACATGGTATGTGATTCTTTTCAAAGTGATAATGTTCTTATTTTTAAAAGATTTTATATCATTTATAAAATAGCGCTTGGTCCCCTTGCTAGTCCAAGCTGCGGTGCTCGGCATCATGAAACAAATTATCTCAAAATATTGACTATTAATGTAATTGTTTAGTTTTGTTTGTCAACCTGAAGCAAGTAATGTAAGAAAAAAAAGGAAATAAGGCTTAGAGATTGTATTAACTGTATTCCAGGCTTAGAGATTGTATTCACTGTATTCCATGGGCTTAGAGATTTAATCACTGTATTCCAGGCTTAGAGATTGTATTCACTGTATTCCAGGCTTAGAGATTGTATTCAATGTTTTCCAGGCTTGGAGATTGTATTAAATGTATTCCAGGCTTAGAGATTGTATTCAATGTATTCCAAGCTTGGAGATTGTATTCAATGTATTCCAGGCTTAGAGATTGTATTCAATGTATTCCATGGGCTTAGAGATTGTATTCACTGTATTCCAAGCTCAGAGATTGTATTTACTGTATTCCAGGCTTAGAGATTGTATTCACTGTATTCCAAGCTTAGAGATTGTATTTATTGTATTCCAGGCTTAGAGATTTTATTCACTGTATTCCTGGCTTGGAGATTGTATTCATTGTATTCCAGGCTTAGAGATTGTATTAACTGTATTCCAGGCTTAGAGATTGTATTCACTGTATTCCAGGCTTAGAGATTGTATTTCCTTCAACTGCTTCTTAAGACGCATCCCTTTCAATAAACAACATCCATGAGATCTGATTTTCTACGCAGTACGCATATTTAAATATAACAATTCAATTTTCCAGTTTAGTATCTTCTCATCCAGTAACATGTGATGCTGCTTAGATTAAAGATAAAGTGTTTGTGTGATCTATAATCTGAGCATCTTGTGAGATATATTGAAGAAAATATGTATTTTCTTGTATTGGTCTTATTGTGAAGCCGACCATAAAAGACCTTTTAAAACACTGTTTTATTTTACTTTTGATTAATTTTTATTTTATTATAATCCTGGGACAATATGAAACTTTAAAAAAATACCGCAGTAAAATAATGTTCATTTAAACTTTGAAAAAATATTCTGAATTATTTAATTTTTTGAAACATATTGATATGGAAATCTAAATTTGCACCTCAAATCAGTAAATATCCAATTTCTTGTTTTTTTTTTATTTCGAAAATTGTTTGACTTGGATGGTCCCACCCTTAGTATTTATCTCGAGTTATATAATAAAATTGTATTTTTTTATTTGAAATTACTATTTTTTATAGAGAAAGCTGCGGTCCAATTTGATATTATATTTTATGTATAAAAATAATCATATTTTATGTGACACCTTTATCTTTTTCTAAGCTTTATGCAAATATATGACCGCTGGACGCTGAATGCGACAGTTATTGTACTTGATATTTGATTAAAGTCAATTTGTTTTACTAATGTGATATGAACACAATTGTGTAATCAAACAACTGAAAAGTTTAAAACTATAACATTTATATAAAACAAAGCAGTTAGACACAAAATATTCATGTGTTATTTTAATATGATATATTGTATGTATTTTAATTGTATTGTGTAATTGTATACAGGATTATCTTTCAAGAGGGAAACTAAGATTTTAAAAACAATTAAATAGTTGTTTTTTGTAATTTCTAATATTTCTTAAAATGGTGAATCGATTCATTGTCTCGTCATTATGAAATATTCAATAAATATTATCTAATATTTTAAGAAAATATTCTAAAATAAAATGGTTGGAGAGGTCGCTGTGGTAAGCGGAGCAAGCTATGGAATAGGAAAATATCAATTGTTTAAAACATAAAAAATCCTTGGAATTAAATCTAGCAGACTAATTTTTGCTGTTTTGAAATTATTGAATGAGATAAGAAAAACTATCTGATATTATTGACATTACAGGGAGGCATATTTCAAAGCAACTTGCAGCTAAGGTATAGTTTAAAATCATAAAGTGCTTAACAAAAAATAAAATTGACTAAGGTGTACCGGCGAGGTGGAGGCGGGGGGGGGAAGCTTATGGTGTACGCAGCCCCCCCCCCGTCTTCAAGCAGGCTTACTTGATGCAATTTACCTCATCAAATATAGATGAACAAACCCAAATGATTTTTTCTTAATGTGGTGTTTTAATTGTTTACACTGATTAAATTGCACCACCTTTGGCTCAAACTGCAGGATATTTTATCTCATGGGATTTAAGATATGACCCCGAATTTAAAGAATTTGAGCCTCGTCTCAAATTTGAGAGCCGGCTCAAACATGGTTGGTTCCACTTGAAATTCCGTGTTTCGAGATTTGAGCCGGCACTCAATTGGAACCGATTTTTGGCGGTTCAGAGACGTGGTTTTTAAATTCGGCCTCTGCTGTGATAAAGAAGAGATATTTGTTTCATCCCCAAATTTCGTAATTTTTCATACCTAACGGTCAACCTATTTCCAACCTCCCTCTTCTCGTATTCATTTCATTTAGTTTTATTAATACCACCATTCTTTAAGTTTAACCAAAATTCTTACAAAACAAATTTTTATTTTTATTTTTCCATAATTTTTTACCAGGTTTTATTTACTTATTCTGTAGTTATAATTTTTTTATTTAACTATGTAATAATTTTCTGTAGGACTGATGAGGATATAAAAATATATCGAAATTAATTTCCGAACCCAAGTTTTTCTATCTGCAATCGAGAGTGAAACCCTTTTTTGCCAATAAGGACAATTTACACGAGATATTTGTTGTTATAAAATTCATGGAAAACAATGTTTATACAGTGAGATGCACATTGAAGTTTTACAGAGTATAGATTTATGTTTTCAGGGTTGGCATGTTGCACTGTTGGCTAGAGGCTTGGCACAGCTGACACAGGTTCAAGAAGAGATAACTCAGGTTAAGGTTTTGATATAAAATAAGGCTTTGAAAACGACCCATGGACACTGTGATGCAAAGTTTGTATAAGCTATTACTCAAAAATCCATGAGAAGACCAAAGAATATGTATACTGGGATACAAAAAATGAGTTAGTAAGGTAAAAATCAAAGGCCATCTTTCATACAGTGGTAAGCGATAATATCAATACAAAGAAGACGACTTTTGATTTCAAATTTGATTTATATCAAGCTTTTAACAGTATGAATACACATAAATGTAAAAGCAAAGAGAAGCTGTCGATTAAAAAGCTTCTCTTTGATTACTTGTAAACATGAAATTCGAAAAAAAGCTTCTAAACAATAAAGCTAAAATAAAAAAGTTGCCTTCATTGTATTGATATAATCGCATACCATTGTAGCTGTCTGTGTGGGAATCGTTAAATATAAGGGTTAGATTTTGTCTATTCTGCCTTAAAAATATCTTTGTTGTAGTACAGTACAGTGGGATACAATTGTGGAGTTTGAAAACAGTTGTGGACTCAACTTACAATTTTTGATTGTCGAATTAACATGAGACACAACTATTGCATGCAATGTATTTAATAAGTAAACTTAATTTTATGAGTTTCATTGTAAATTTGATGATTTGACAGAGTAAAAAAACCCCATGGGTCGTCTCTTAAGTTTCATCATTTGAAACAATACATTTAAAAGAAAGGAACTATAAGGTTAAAAGGGATCAATTGTATTAAATGTTTCGAAAAAATATTAATACAAACCAACCCTCCACGGACGGTGGAGATATATTGATGAAGATTGGTCTGGAGATGACGATTTAAATCAAATCTTTTTAGAAACATTGGATTGAGATAATATACATACCAAATCCATTTAATATTTAAACATGATTCATTCTTTAATTTACTGCAGGCCGGAGGAGTCGCATTGGCCTTACAGTGTGATATAACTGATAGAAATGCAGTCAGGTAATCTATAGACAAGATTTTTTAGTTTTATTACCTTCAGAATGTATTTCAAATCAGTTTACAAGGAAATATTGTGATATTATTAAAAATTATTTATTCTAAACTAAGCGATTTTACTTGTCAATCTTTATTAATTTACTTCAGGGCTTGCAAACAGAGAATCGAAGACGATCTGGGTACCCCGACTGTTCTTATAAACAATGCCGCGTATGTTGCGCCTCTCCACAAGGTTACAACGCATGCGCATCATCAATCCATCAATCAATCAGTCAAGTAAAAGGGAAAAGTAATTGACTCTTTTCCTCAAACTGGAATTTTCTAATCCATATATAGTTGCAACCAGCTGCAGTAAACCTTTGATATTTCTAACTTGGATTATTTTATATCTAACAGGTTTTAAAGTTTGAATTATCTATAATCTTTCATTGGATTGCAAAATCAGAAAATCAGAGTTCGCAGGTTCGATACTGCAACCCTCCTGTGTTTTTAATTTGAAAAGCAAATTTTCTCAAACAATTATTTTGTCTATATTTACATGAATAAATGTGTTGAACAGTTTGCAGAAGGAAATCCTGAAGAATGGGAGAAAATGATCAGGAATAATTCAAGAATATGTTTTGTTATTTTATTTTTGCACCTTGTCTCAGAAACTCTAGTTTTCAAATCCAAATATCTTCAAAACCGGATATTGCATTTTAACTAATTCTCCTAATAGAATTTATCGTTTGAAATATCAAAGTTTGTATTTCGGGTTGCAAAGACATGGATTAGATAATTAGAGTTTTCCATGAATATTTATCCAAAGCCCAACTTGAATTGCTGGGTGCAGTGTTAATGTCTGGGGAACATTAAATCTAACCAGGGAGATTCTTCCCTCAATGCTGGAGAAAAAAAGAGGAAAGGTAAAAGTCAAATTTTTAAAATTAATAATTAGTGAAAAATTAAGATATTTTTACCAGATCATCTTTATGTCGAGCAAAGCTGGCGTAGTACCAACACCTTATCTTGCAGTTCATTCAGGTATTATACATATACTTGTTTAGATTCCTGATTTAAAAAGGCAGTTTAGTATGATTTCTCCCTCTAATATGAAGTTGAGCCAAAACCTCCTTTTCATACTTCTCTTATGACGCATTTAGTCTGCTTTGAGCAATTATTATTCCTATATAAGGAAGGAGAAGTGCGTTCCTAAGCCTGGAACCAGGACCGTTTTCCGACAACTTCCTATTTAAAGAACTCTGGATGGACCTCGCTGTCTTAGAACTAGACTTTTCCTTCCTCTTTGAGGGATTATATTCTGCTTCAAAGTAGACTAAATGCATTATAACAGAAGTGTAACAAGGAGGTTTCGGCTTAACTTCCTATTAGAGGGAGAAATCAAGCTAAACTGCCTTTTTAAATCAGGAATCCTTACGAGGCATTCCAGTTTTGGAACGATGGGAATACAGCTAAACATTTAGTTTTATTTTGGAACGGTTCAGGGCATTTGAAAGATTTAAGGATTAAAAATTAAAAAAATTGATAATTTAGGAACAAAACATATGGTAGAGGGGTTAGTAGGAGCACTCATACAAGAGGTAAAAAAACATTATACAGTTGAACCCATAAAACTGTATAATAAAAAGACGACTATAAGACTCAAATTTTGATTTTAAAGTTTTGCTTTTTTAAACTACGAATTCAAATTTTTATCACATATATAAATTGCAAGGATGAAATGTTTAAACCATTTTAAAAATTCCTAAACTTCTTAGATTTTTTGGGACCTTTAAAAGTCGAAAAAACTTGGATTCAATTTGCTACAATCTAACCTTTGTAGACATCGCAGGAATAATTAAATTATCGTTTTTTAACCTATTGATATCGGAATACTTCATATATTTAGTGTTTTAATTGAATAATTATATGGAGCTCTTTAAAACTGTTCATGACTATTTATTTTTATTTTTACAAATACTGAGATTTAGGCCACGCGTGCATAAAACCCATTTGAAAAATTGTCAAGACGACATTTTTAAAATTCGTTTGATTTCTCCGAAGTTCCGGGTTAAATTATATAAAATAAGATCAAATCAAAAAAAAAATGTTTTTGTCTAGATAGCTGGGTCTGGAGTAAGTGTAAGCCTGGTTAGGCCTGGAGGCGTGGCTACCCCGGGATACACCCATGCTGTTGAGTAAGCTAGTTACCGCACTTTTTTTTAAAATATTTGATGTTCCGATCAGGGATCTTAGGCGCGAGTTTACTCCATTTCCTTTTCTTGCATCTATTGTATGAATTAACTGATGTCTTACCAAAAAACTTTTCTTATCCCTATATCTTTGAACCTTGCTGGTGTAAACCTTTGATAATTAAAATTTAGCCTTTTGGATCTAATAGAATTCATAATATAAAATATCAAAGATTTGTTGCAAGAACTTTTGATGATTGAGATTTCATACAATCTGTTCTTGAGGAGAGAATGAGCTCAATTCATTCCACACTTTCAAAAGTTTCCAGTTCGGAGCTTTTAACTTTGAATTGACAATATTAATTTAAATTGATTCGTACCAGTTTTCTTCATTTCCCTTTTGTTTAATAGTTTAAAGATTTACCAACATTAGATGAGAGAAAACATTTAAATCAATTGAATTGATTAAAATACGTGGTTTTCAAAAACCTCAACCTTTGATAGAAAATTCGTCCAAAAATATTTAAATATCTTTCAATTTAAACCACTACACTCGACTTGAGGAAATGAACCACAATATTCAATGCAAAAATAAATAACCTAAAAAATCATAAACTGAAAGAAGGAACTGCATGTCCCATTAAACTGATCTATGATCTTTGATTTTAGATCCGGAGACGGTGGTTCAGTACCAGACTGGATTCCAGGAAACTTTGATGAATGCATCAGTAAGCAAAACTTCTATTTTATACAAAACAAGATCTTTTGATGATAAGTTTTCATGTTTAGAACCTGAAACAGTCGCGGAAGCTGTTCTTTTTATTGTGGAACAAATGGAGCATGCTGACATATCTGAGATTAATGTAACTGCTAACACAAAGATCAAGGAGTAAAGTGTTCAATCTGGTACATCTGAGATCAATGTAACTGCTGATATTTCTGAGATCAATGTAACTGCTGATATTTCTGAGATCAATGTAATTGCTGATTTATCTGGAGATCAATATAACTGCTGATTTATTTGAGCTCAATGTAACTGCTGATTTATCTGAGATCAATATACTTGCTAACACAAAGATCAAAGAATAATAGAGCATGCTGATATATTTGAGATCAATATTACTGCTGATTTATCTGAGATCATTATTACTGCTGACATATCTGAGATCAATATTACTGCTGATTTATCTGAGATCTTTATAACTGCTGATTTATCTGAGATCAATATTACTGCTGATTTATCTGTGATCAATATAGCTGCTGATTTATCTGAAATCAATATAACTGCTGATATATCTGAAATCAATTATAACTGCTGATTTATCTGAGATCAATATTACTGCTGATTTATCTGTGATCAATATAGCTGCTGATTTATCTGAAATCAATATAACTGCTGATATATCTGAAATCAATATAGCTGCTGATTTATCTGAGATCAATATAACTGCTTATTTATCTGAGATCAATGTAACGGCTGATTTATCTGAGATCAATGTAACTGCTGATTTATCTTAAATCAATATAACTGCTGATTTATCTGAAATCAATATAACTGCTGATATATCTGAGATCAATATAACTGCTAACACAAAGATAAACAAATAATAGAGCCATGCTGATATATCTCAAATAATGTAATGGCTAACAAAAATGATGAGCATTTCTCATAATAATTACAAGATTAATTGATTGAAATATATGTCGTCTTCCTTTATTGGGATTTCTCCAGTCTTATGAAATCATTATAGAAATTAACCATGGTTATACAGGTGGCAAGGGCGTATAACAGTTTCAGTGAAGGGGGGGGGGGTGCATTTTTTGCGCGTGTTAAAGCCCCGAAATATTTTTGTGCACCTCCTAGAAGATTTTGTGTCCTCCCTTAAAAACCCCTTTTTTGACAAAAGTATTGATTCGTTTTTTATCTATATTTAAGAACCTTGTATCTTTCATACAATTATGCTTTGCTTTGTTTAGAACAATATCTCTTTATCAGAGGTGCAAAAAAATGAGTTTTTTGCCACAAACTTCAAATTATAATACCTATGAAGTATGTATATTCGTGCAACCCAATGTCGGAAATTTTTGATATTTCAAACTATGAATTCTGTTAGACCAAAAAGCCTTAGTTTTCACCACATAAATATTAAAGGTTTATACCATCAGGTTTCAAAGAAATAGTGTTTAAAAATTTTGGGAGTTCTTTTCTTGAAAAATCATTCGATCCTTACAAAATATTTCTTTCAGATAAAATCATTTCATAAATGTTGCCCCCTGGGGGGGGGGTACCTATAGGGGTGCACGTGCTACTCTACAGGTTGGGGGGGGGAGGCACCCTTACTCACCTAAACATGTGGAATTGATTTGGACACAAACTGGAAAATAGATAAAAAGTTTAAAGAGGAAAATAAAATTATTAAATAAATAGAAATAGCAATCAATGTATTAGGATACTATTTTTTTTTTAAAGAAGAAAACGATTGAATTCTTAAAGTGAATTTGAGATTATTTAGCCACACATCCAAACTTCAACATCTACAGTATGCCCTCAAATCAAGGTTTATAAATTATATCTCATGCTAGCATGCACCGATATTCATTCTATTAAATCCATCAATCTATTTTGACAAAATTAACTTCTAAATGAGACAATGTTGATTTATTCTCTGTATTCTCTGTATTCTCTGTATTCTCTGTATTCTCTGTATTCTCTGTATTCTCGTTACTCACTGAAAGGAATCGAGTTCTCACCACAAACTCACCGGGTTCCAAAGATAGAGGGATTCAAAAATTTGATTTTGTGGGAAAGACTAAATTCCTTTCCGGATCAGTGGTAGGCTTTTAATAAAGAATTAAATACAGCATTGACAAGGTAATAACCTACAAAAAACTCTTAATCTAAAAAAGATCTTAAAATAAATTTCATCGTTTTATAATGAAGTATACATAGAAAAAAACATTATTAATAATGATTGATAATATTTTCATGATGATTCTGATATATCTCCTTATTTATACATGAAGAAAGATGACATTAAACCGATATATGTCGCATTCTAAAAGCGTCCATACTCGGAAGATCTAACATAATAATTTATTTCCTGGAACTCTGGGGCTAGATATAAAGTTAAGTGACAGCAATTATTTTTCTACAATTTAAACAAAAGAACTAGATGTTGAGCAAATAATTATTTATTTTTCTTGAACGCTTGAACTCGATGTTCCATTTGGGCATTTTTAATTTGAAGATAAATGCTTGATTCCAAATCGGCAAGGTATGACCACCATGGGGGATATCTAAGAGAGTAATCGAATTAACTCGTAGGTCTTGATAAGATGAATGGAGATCAATGCTTGGTTCAGAAAATTTCTGACTTCTGATTTACCTTTTTCTGGCATATTTCTAGAGTAAAGGTGGACGATTATTTCTTTTTCTGACATATTTCTAGAGTAAAGGAGGACGATTATTTCTTTTTCTGACATATTTCTAGAGTAAAGGAGGGAGATTATTTCAATAAGCATATATTCTTTTCAAACAAATTTAATCATTTATCTTTATTATGGCAGAACAAAAATTTATTGACAATTAATATATACATGTTAAAAACAAATTACTCATGTAGATATTTTTTGCATATTTAGGTATATGAGCTAATTTTGGAGCATTATTTGCATATCTAATCTTTTTGTAAAGATATATAGTCAATTGAATTCTTAATTTTTACTCTCTAAAGGAATTAAAACTTTAATCATAAAGGTAATATCAAAGTGGCAAGAATAGATCGCTTTAGTTTTCAAATTTTTTTATATGATTACAAGTTTAATCTTGAATATAAGTATTCTTCAGTATAGTCATTTTAGATTTTCATCATGTTTTTTACCGCTTATTATTTTATTCTAAAACAGTTAGTTAGAATTTCTTAGTTAGGGATATATATTGTTCCAGGAATCAAAACATTAATCCTAATCCTAATCCTAAATTTAGAATTCACTTCATTCTTCTACTTAACATTTTTTGAAAATATAACCATTTACATATCTATTAAATTGTTTCTAAAACTACCTGATAAATTATCATTGAAAATATACAATATGTACAAAGTGCCCCAAGAATATGTACAACTTGTGACCTCTTTTTTCTCTAAACATTTTTCAATTTTTTAACCTAAATCTTGAAGATAAAATGTCAGCATTAAAGAAGGGGTTCGCAATTATTCAAAAGGTGAAGAATAATCAATAAATAAATTTGGAACATTATGTTATTTTTTCATTTTTATGATGCTGTTCATTAAGTACATTTCCTAACTATCGTTCATAAACTAAAATATGTATGGTAGCGAATCCTCCTTTTTTCTGGTACCATTTGTCATTCAGTTTTTGATAACATTTCTTTAACATGTTACTAAAATCTTTTTTATATTTTATAGTGAAAAAACATTTGTTTTAGAGTTTCCTTTTATTTGAGTAGATCCGCGTAGCTCGGGGGAGCTTCTTCAAAAAACTTGTTTTCATCTGGAAACGAAGCTGCCGATTTTGAGAATTCTAAAAAAAGTGTAACTAGTAAAAAATTATTCTGAGGATAAAGAAAAATAAATTTTGTGGACCTTCACCTTTTATTTAATTTTTTACCTGGAGTATTCCGTTGATATGTAATATTTTCCAAGTTTTTAAAGCTTAGAGTTTGCATTGGTAGCTTGGAGAGATCCTCTTCTCCCTCAACCTTCTTGGGTCCAACCTCAACGAAATTACTCTCAAACCCGTTACAAGGGAGAGATTTAGGGTCTCTATACTCTACCGGGTACCGAGACTTCGGGGAAAGTTGCAAACTTTCAAAATTATTTGGTTTGGTTGGATTTATCTTCTCCTCAAAGTCGTCTTTGTTTTTCTTCTTTCCTTTGATTGGAGGAAGGGTAGCGTGGGACATGTGAGGGGATGGAAATCTAAACATAATTCTGTTTTAAGGAAAACTTTTGACTTTTTTCATAAATAGATGACTTAATAGTTGTATTGAATCTTTTTTTTCAATTTTCATACAATTATTTTGTCATCAAATATTTCTTTTAAAGATTAAAGACGATCTTTTCTCTCAACTGTAGAACACCATTTAAATAAATTATGTAAAATCAGTGTAAATTCTATAGGAAATCAAATTCTATAGGAAATCAAAATCTAACAGTCATCTTACTTAATAATTCCTTCTCCCTCAAGCGGTTGTAGAGTTATCTTGCTAGGTAGACTAGGTAAGCTACCAAATTCTAGAAAATATTATAGGTAAGCTACCAAATTATAAAAAATATTATTGATTAACTACAAAATTCTAAAAGTTTTATTGGTAAACTACCAAATTCTAAGAAAATTATTGGTAAACTACCAAATTCTAAAAAAATTATTGGTTAACTATCAAATTCTTAAAAATAGTATTATCTGAACTACCAAATTCAAAAAAAATATTATTGATTTCTACCAAATTCTAAAAAATATGATTGGGGAACTACCAATTTGATTTATCCTTAGAATTCCCATAAAAAATGTTCTAGGAACTTTTTTGTATTAGACAAATTCATCTTTATATCTACCATGAAGACATGTTAAATTCTGAACCAAACTTTTAAATAAAATTGCTAGTTTTTAGAATTGTCTGATGTGTATTATTTTATTGTAACCTATTGCAGGATTGAAGGAATCCTCGAATCTATTATTCTCCAGATTCTCTAGAATGTTCCTTTCCTTCCTCTCTTTTTCCTCTGCTGCAAACAATCAGCATTTTTTTAAACCGTTTTAAGATGTTCAAAAAAGTGTTCGGACATTTCTGAAATTATTTGTTTCTTTTAGAGTTAAATCAGAAAACTATCATTTAAATGCAAGACAATTACAGAAATTGAAGGTTTTTAAAAATAATTGTTTTTTAAACTTTTTCAAACTAAACAGAAGTTTTCCCAGGTCCAAATTGAAACGAAAATAGTCCTTTTTTAATCTAAACCCCAAGATTTTATGAACTACGGAAACCGTTTCATAAAACACTTTATATTGACTAAAAATTGTTTAGCTCAATATTAGAAAGCCTAGGGTCAATATTATACTTATACAATAAACCTGTCATCTTATATCAAACTAAAACTGATATAAGCTTCTTTCTAAAGAAAAGTTAGAAGGTCAAACTTTGGATTCTTTTTTATTAGAAAGTTTCATGTATTAATTAGGAAAATATAAACTCTTTGATTTATCTTATTTAAAACCACAAGATACAAAGTATATTTAGTGCATTGAACTTTATGAGAATCAATGCAAATAAAAGATAAGAATAACTTCAAAACATTAGTGCTAGAACTCTAAAACTTTTGATTAGATGCACAGTTAAAATAAAAAAATTTAATTCGGTTATTTTTCTAGAAAAACATTCAAAACATTTTAGAAATTCTAAATATTTTAGCAATTCTAAACATTAGAGAAATTCCAAATATTTTAGAAATTCTAAACATTTTAGTTATTCAAAACATTTTAGAAATTCAAAACATTTTAGAAATTCAAAACATTTTAGAAATTCAAAATATTTTAGAAATTCAAAATATTTCAGAAATTCAGAACGTTTTAGAAATTTAAAACATTTTAAAAATTCAAAACATTTTGAAAATTGAAAGCGCTTTAGAAATTCAAAACATTTTAGATATTCAAGACATTTTAGAAGTTCAAAACATTTCAGAAATTCAAAAAATGTTGGTTCTTTTCAATAACTCCTCAAGAAAAGGATTATATGATTGAAAATATATTTTGCTAAAAAAATTTTAATAAAAAATAAAATTGTTAAAAAAATTATTGAAAAAAAAGATTTTATTCTAGTTACTTTATTTTGACTGTAACTTATACTCGTGTTTATGATAAAATGGTGAAATGCCTGATTCTATATCTGTATTCTGGGTTTTTAAACTCTCAGAGGTGTAATTTCTTTTCATTCCTTCGTTCTCCTGGATCAGGTTTAGCAGAGATCTTACAGCAGCCTAGAACAAAGGAATTATATTGAGTCTTTAAGATTGCATTAATATCGTATTCCTAATCATCAGTTTTTTGGCTCTCACTGTAAATTAATTATTATGATATCTTCATTCTTGGTTATATGAATATTTATTTGCAGGATAAAATTTGTATTTTTACGCTAAAAAACTTTGAAGGCCAGCGCGGCGGTGCCAAGGTTACTCATAGTTATACTACCGCCGTTTACCCTCACTTGATCAATATCGGGTAACTAAATTTTCAAAATAAAAGTTGACCCACTTAACTAAGAACCAAGCTAAGAACATTCCCGTGGCTCTTATGAGTTCCACAATTACAATTTAAGGCAAATCGGTTCAGGAGTTTCTGGGTCATGATCGCACAAATAACAAACGAAAATAGAAACAGAGATTACAACTTTATAAATATAGATATGTAGATACTTTAATATTCTCGCAAACTGGAAATATTTGTTTTATATAAATGAATATATTTTTGGGGGGCCTCGTACATCTATTAAGAAAAATCGAGAATTTTACCTATTCAAATAACTACTTTGATGAAAGTTCTATCATATCAAGAAAACTTTTTGTAAAAGTTTCTTATAACTTACTTTTTGCAAACTTAATTGCCGACTGGCAAGCTTGATTTGAGCTATTTACATTTTATACAGGGTGTCCCAGTTATCACGAAAATTGAGTGAAAACTTAGAAATTGTCTTTACTTAGAATCAACAATATAATACCTTATTTCGAAATTCATAACAAAATGTTACGTCTGCTATAGTGTATATTTTATTTAAACTGCATTGAAGAGGAAAAATTGGATTTTGTTTGAATATAGGTATTTTCTTCGGTTATGTTATGTGGTAACAGTGTCATGGGCCCATCAAGCTCTCCCCAGGTTGATACATTCCAAACTGTGCTTGTGTCATTTATCAACTGAAAATTAATTTCCGTCCTTTGGCGGTTATTTATTTCGGCCTTAATTTTTATGGAATAATGGTTGATCGTTTGTTATTATTATAATTATAGGTCAACAGTATACAATTAAAACATAAACAAACAAATTCTGAACTTTAGCAGACAAACCAGATGATAAATAAATATCTATGTACGAACCATTAAATACTAAATAAACAAAAAATAAGGACGATTTTGAAATCGTCACTCAGTTTCCATGTTTATTGGGACACCCTGTGCGCAGTTTTCATGTGTATTGGGACACCCTGTACCTAGTTTTCATGTTTATTGAGACACCCTGTACCCAGTTTTCATATTTATTGGGACACCCTGTACCCAGTTTTCATGTTTATTTAGACACCCTGTACCCAGTTTTCATGTTTGCTGGGACACCCTGTACCCAGTTTTCATATTTATTGGAACACCCTGTACCCAATTTTTATGTTTATTGGGACACACTGTACAAAGTTTTTATGTTTTTTGGGACACCCTGTACCCAGTTTTCATGTTTATTGGGACACCCTGTTCCAGTTTTCATGTTTTTTGGGACACCCTGTACCCAGTTTTCATGTTTATCGGGACACCCTGTACCCAGTTTTCATGTTTATTGGGACACCCTGTACCCAGTTTTCATGTTTATTGGGACACCCTGTTCCAGTTTTCATGTTTGTTGGGACACCCTGTACCCAGTTTTCATGTTTATCGGGACTCCCTGTACTCAATTATCATGTTTATTGGGACACTCTGTACTAGACCTGTGACATTCTCTTCTCTTGAACGGTTTTGAAGTACAAGGCTGTTGCTATTCCTAAAGAAAAAATTACGTTTTAATTTGTTTTTAATCAACCAATCAATCAACCAGTCAGACTAACCCAGGAAAAACATAACTTCCGGTCAACACTCAAAATATAAATTGACCCCGTAAAAAACCAACCAACTGACCAAACAAACAATAACAAAAAACTAGCTACTAAAGAAACAATTAAACACACCTCAAATAATTAGTTAAAATATCAACCATTCAATGATTTAACCAATCAATCAATCAAACAAACAAAAATAACAAAAAACAAACTTTTAAAAATCGACCTATTGAGAAACCAGGTAATCCATTAATAATCCAACCAAACTTACCAAACTTAATATCTTGCTAAACAACTATCAGCCAAATAATCAACCTTCAAGACAACCTATCAACCATAACCATCCAAATAATCAACCTTCAAGACAACCTATCAACCATAACCATCCAAATAATCAACCTTCAAGACAACCTATAAACCATAACCATCCAAATAACCAACCTTCAAGACAAATTATCAACCATAACCATCCAAATAATCAACCTTCAAGACAACCGATAAACCATAACCATCCAAATAACCAACCTTCAAGACAACCTATCATCCATAACCATCCAAATAATCAACCTTCAAGACAACCTATCAACCATAACTATCCAAATAACCAACCAACAAACTGATCTCTAATTCAATCAACCCCCCCAACCCCTTTCAATCCTTGGATGTCTAATGTCTATACCTGCTACCCCGAGTCCAAGAAGAATAAGTCCAAGTAGAACAACGGTATCTCCGAAAAAGACCCTGCGATTGTTACTAACCGCCTGATCAATCAAAATATAAAAATTAAATCTTTTTCCGACTTTTATTTTAAATCTCTCTAAACCTTTTTTTTTCAGTTTCCTCTCTCCGGATTTTCTCTTGACTTATTTTTTTAATTATTGTTTATGTTTTTGTTTTACTTATTCTATTTTGGTTTACTTCCAACTCGTTTCATGATTATCATTCCCCTTTCTTAAATCGAATTATTCCAAAATGAACTTTTGCCTTTTGTATTGGCTTTTTTGCTTTCTCTTTTGATTTTTATAATGTCAATTGTTCTCTCAAACTATTTTTAAACTCATACATTTTTTTGCTGGGGCTCATTAACCTTTTTATTAAGTTTTTTTCTTGCATTTTTCATCAATTTTTGTTTGCGTTTCTAATATTACAGACCTGAGTGACGGCTTTATGAATAGCATCGTGGGTTGGAGGGTGCCTCGGTCTAAATAAAAATGAACATTTAATTCTATACACGATAAAGTTATTAAAGAATCAAAACCATTTAAAACAAAAATTTTGTCATGATGACATGAGTAATCAAGATTTTTCTTTTGTTTAAAATAGTTCAACCCTGGTTTGTTAAGGAGGGGGGGGGGTGAATAAAAACGGTGACAAAGTACAACCCTGGTTTGTTAAGGAGGGGGGGGGGTGAATAAAAACGGTGACAAAGTACAACGTACAAAAAGAAGAATTGATTGCATCATTGCATGTTTAACATGAGGCCTCATTCAAACCCCTATATCTTCGCGACTTGAAGTCGTTCGTCATTGACATTTCAAACTATGAATTCTGATAGATCAAATAGTCAAAGTTTGAAATATCCAAGGTTTACACCAACAGGTTGCAAAGATAAAGGGGTTTAAAACACGTGTTAAGGTCCTTTAGATATTATGGAGGCCAATAACCTTGAGTTGTGAATAACTACATATCCTCGAATTATATATTCATATATGTTTCAAGGTATGGTCGAGAAGCGTCATATTTTATGTATTTTAACTGCTAGAAATCCAGGGATTATGCATACTAAGTGTATATTATACTATATTTGGTCAGGAGTATCGGAACGTACATTAGAATTCACATTTATAAAATCAAATAAAAAGTCTATTCTTTAAATGACTCCCATCTTTTTAAGAAAAGTTTTAAAAAACGTTTTTGCTTTAATTTGCAAAAATAAAAAGTATAATAGCATGCGTTTTAATTATGGAAACATTGAAGAAAATAACATTTTTATGCAAAATGAATGCGTTAAATTTGGTATATCAACATAATTCATTTCATCTTAAAGAGTCCCATTAATTAAGATTAAAAAACAGACAATTTTTCTTTATTAAAAATGAAGTGTTAAAATGAAAAAATAAAGGGAATGTATTACATAGCATTATCAAGAATCAAAGGAATTGAGTGTTTTGTCACAAACTTTGATTTTCTAATCCCCATATCTTTGCAATCAGTTGTCGCTATATTAAACCTTGAATTCTGATAGATCAAAAAATTTAGATTTAATATATTAATAGATTCACATAATAAGGTTGCAAAGATATAGGGATTAGAAAATTTGAGTTTGTGTCATAGACTCCATTCCTTTGTAATGTCTAATTCTTTCTTAAGAATTATAGAATAGAAGCAATAATAGTATTTTCGAAACACTCTCTTGTAAATTGTAATTCCATTTCTCAATTAAATTTTGTAATTAATAAACTTATGTGGAAATAATTTCTTAATCTGAGAATGTGTCCATCCCAAAAAGTGTTTTTATGAGTTCTATGTTTTAAAAATAATGAATTTGATATTTTTGAACACAATTTAAAAACTTTAATTTTTGTATTTCTCAAAGTTTTCCAAACAATGCAAACAAAATTAATAATTCTTTAAACTTCAGAAGCTTCGAGATCTGCAGTAAAATTAAAATTATTTGATTGAAATTAAAGTTTGAGTTTTACCTTGCTAGTTTTTTATCCTCTATAAAAATAGGGACAGCGTCAAATGATTCAGTTGTATACACCTAAATATTATTACAATAAGTTGAATATCCTAAAGTTTCCTAATCCCTATATCTTTGCAACCAGATTGCACTAACCTTCGATATTTCAAAATAGACTATTTTATACAACTTAATTCATACAAATCTAATGTCATCGACAAAAGTTATAGATGATCAAAGTTTGTGGCAAAGACTGAATTTCTTTGTTTGCGGATACTGATCATAAAGAAAAATGAATTGGGAAGCATAGGATAAAATGGAAAATGGTAAAAAAAGGAATAAATAAAATGGTAAATGGTAAAAAAGAAATAAAAGAAAGAATAGAAAAATAAAGAAAAATGAGAATAAGAACGGAAAAGAAGAGAAAGATAAAGATAAATGAGAATAAGAACGGAAAAGGAGAGAAAGATGATGAAAAATGAGAATAAGAACGAAAAAGAAGAGAAAAATAAAGAAAAATGAGAATAAGAACGAAAAAGAAGAGAAAAATAAAGAAAAATGAGAATAAGAACGGAAAAGAAGAGAAAGATAAAGATAAATGAGAATAAGAACGGAAAAGAAGAGAAAAATAAAGAAAAACGAGAATAAGAACGGAAAAGAAGAGAAAGATTAAGATAAATGAGAATAAGAACGGAAAAGTAGAGAAAGATAAAGAAAAATGATAATAAGAGCGGAAAAGTAGAGAAAGATAAATAAAAATGAGAATAAGAACGGAAAAGAAGAGAAAAATAAAGAAAAATGAGAAAAAGAACAGAAAGGAAGAGAAAAATGAGAATACGAACGGAAAAGAAGAGAAAGATAAAGAAAAATGAGAATAAGAACGGAAAAGAAGAGAAAAATAAGAAAAAGAACGGAAAAGAAGAGAAAGATAAAGAAAAATGAGAATAAGAACGGAAAAGAAAAAAGACAATAAGAAGAAAGAAGATGAAAAAACGCGGAAACAAAAATGAATCAACAAAAAGCAGATTAAAGGCAGTAAAGAATTGTAAGAAGACATATTTCTGCCATAAAAGAAATAATGAGATGAGAGGAAAAGTTTAGTTTTATGGAAGAAGTTGATCATAACAAATCATAAACCAGACCCAGACATCCTTCATCTTGTACTTACACGTTAAATAATCAGTTAATCAATCAAATTTCAGAACAAAGAAATTGAGTTTTTGCACAAACTCTGATTTTCAGAGTTTAAAATATCAACGATTTAACACATCAGGTTGAAAAAATATATAAAATTTGTGGCAAAGGCTCAATTTTTTTATAGTTTGAAAAGATTTACGAAAATATTGATAATCTCAATTAGAATTAAACTTTAAAGACGAATATGTCACTTTCCGCTAAAACCCACTATTTATTCGGTGAGAGTACTGCAGTTTAGCATAGAATCTCAGGTTGTCATTATAGTCTCATCCTATTTGGTAATCCTGTAGTCATTATAGTCTCATCCTATGTGGTAACGCTCTAGTCGTTATAGTCTCATCCTTTGTGGTAACCCTGTAGTCTTTATAGTCTCATTCTATGTGGTAACCCTGTAGGCAGTATAGACTCATCCTATGTGGTAACCCTCTAGTCGTTATAGTCTCATCCTATGTGGTAACCCTGTAGTCGTTATAGTCTCATCCTTTGTGGTAACCCTGTAGTCGTTATAGTCTCATCCTATGTGGTAACCCTGTAGGCATTATAGTCTAATCCTATGTGGTAACTCTGTAGTCGTTAAAGTCTCATCCTATGTGGTAACCCTATAGGCATTATAATCTAATCCTATGTGGTAACCCTGTAGGCATTATAGTCTAATCCTATGTGGTAACCCTGTAGGCATTATAGTCTAATCCTATGTGGTAACCCTCTAGTCGTTATAGTCTCATCCTTTGTGGTAACCCTGTAGGCATTATAGTCTCATCCTATGTGGCAACCCTGTAGGCATTATAGTCTCATCCTATGTGGTAACCCTGTAGTCGTTATAGTCTCAATCTATGTGGCAACCCTGTAGATTAACTAAAATGGATAAATGAACCTTATCCTGTATACAGATCAGATTCGGAACCTCTTCATGTTCCATCTGCTCCTCCCCTAGGGATACAGTGGGCGTGGCTCTGGTAGGAGTGTGGCCTCTCTCACAACTGCACCGACTGTTGATAGGGTTACACATACTTTTCTCATTCTAAAAATATTCAGTGAATCCCAGATATATGAATACATAGCAAGATTTTTTTTAAATGTCGTATTCTCAACATATTTAAGATCAAATGCTGCATAAAAACGAGTTTAATATATCAATTGTTGTCCTTAATATTTCAGGACTATTAATTTACCTTGAATTAAAAATAAAGAATTGTAAAAAACTTATGACTCTTACAATGATATTTAGATATATTTTCATAACTAATATTCAACCTTTTGAAGCCGCGAACATTTCAGCAGGTTTCTTTTTGTGCTAACCAATGATGAAGCTGATATAAATTTGTAAATAAATTTCAAGACGACATTTCATACGCTCTTGCTATGTTTTCATATATGTGAGATTGGCTGTTTTTATCAACAAGAAATTGATTTTTTGCCACAAACTCAGATTTAAAATCAGTATCTTTGCAGCCCAATATCGTGAACTTAAAATATTTTAAACCATGAATCATATTCATAATTCATGTTCAAATAATCGAAGTTTGTAATATCAAAGGTTTGCACCATCAGGTTGCAAAGATAAAAGAATTAGAAAATTTGAGTTTGTGGCAATTTCTTTGATTTTTCCAGACATTTTTATTTTGCATCCTTGATCTAGACAGATTTTCTTAGCAGACGTTTTTCCGGTTAAAATCGATTTTGTGTGGATAAACTGCCTCTAAAAGAAATCAGATTGCACTATTCTATTTTTAACGGGCAAATATAGAAAGAGGTTATAGTGCAGATACTCATCGAGTATATACAGTTTTCCTAATACNTTGTCTCTTATACCAAGCTGCCCCTCCCCCCTCTTTCAGAAGTTATAAATCCAAAAAGTATTTTGGTGTCATCATCATTCAACTAATAAGAAATTCATTTAAAATTTGGTGATGATGATGGACATAACCTCTATAGAGTAAATAAAGTAGATTTTAGATTCACATTTTATTGAGAATATATTTCTGCCTGGGTTGACCCTCGTCAGACTTAACGATATCATAACCATCAAAATCGATAATAAAAAATGTAAAAAATAAGAAATTTTTAAAATAAAGATGTCAATACAAGGTATTTATACATTTTACTATTAAATATATAAAGTGAAATAATTATTTATTTCTTTGAAATTATATTTCAATTCATGTTCTTCTCTATAACGACAGTGGCACGGATACCTTAGCTTGACACTGAGTGGAAGTGACACAGGGATCCCCAAGTGCTGCAGCAGGATGGCACTCCCACTTCCAGGATATCCAACCATCAGAGCACTCACACACTCCGCCAGCACTTCCATTTATTCTGAACATTTAGCAGATAACAAAAATATAAGAAAAGAAAAAACAAAACAAAAGATTAAACTGAAAAGAATAGTAGATATAAAACTAGCTTACTTTCTGATATAATAATGATTAGAATCAACCCTACATCAATAAACCATTTTTTTGTGTGAAATATACATAGAGAATAGAATATATATTAGAGGGGAATTTATTGAATCTCTCGGTATGAATTTTTTCAGTCCCTGTCAGCCTGAAAGGGAGTTCAAAAATTACAAATCATGTAAATGTTGAGTTATAAGCAAGGAGTATGGGTATAATGGAGAAAGAATCGACCCGACCCGCCCTACCATATAATTTTACATACATGCTTTGCTTTGCACAGACAAGACGGTGAATAAGAGACATTCCTTACTTAACTGTCTGATGTTATGTACAAAATACAATGTACAAAATACAATGTACAAAATACAATGTACAAAATACAATGTATAAAATACTATGTACAAAATACAATGTACAAAATACAATGTATAAAATACAATGTACAAAATACAATGTACAAAGTATAATGTACAAAGTACAACGTACATTGCAAATTATACAAGATTACGCTGATAAAGGTAGAATAAGATGATAAACTAGTTTATTCTCCTACTAACTCTATTACGAAGAGGGGTTTATGCTCAGATTGAAGATACATTTTACGAAATAGAAAATATACATTTTACAAAATAGAACAGATATATTTTACAAAATTGAAAAGATACATTTTATACAAAATTATAGAAAAGATACATTTCACAAAATAGAAAAGATACAGTTTACAAAATAGAAAAGATACATTTTACAAAATAGAAAAGATACATTTTACAAATTACAAAATAGAAAAGATACAGTTTACAAAGTAGAAAAGATACATTTTACAAAATAGGAAAAAGATACAGTTTACAAAATATAAAAGATACATTTTGCAAAATAGAAAAGATGCAGTTTACGAAACAGAAAAGATGCAGTTTACGAAAAAAAAAGATACAGTTTACGAAAAAGAAAAGATGCAGTTTCAAAGTCGAAAAGATCTTAAACTAAAAATATCAAAACCCAAAAATAGCCAAAACCACAATATTTAGAAGCAAAAAAATTTCTGAACAAATTCACATTGAGAAAAAAAATCTAAAGTGTACATCCAAGAATAATAAATGCAAAAGCAAAAATTGGCTTGGTTTGTAGGTTATACAGCATAAAATGATCAGATGATTTGATAAATCCTAAAAACGTAATAGTTGAGTAGTGCTGAACAATCAAACAATATTTATAATTTCAAAAGTTTTAGTTAAAGTTAAGTCTATCTCATTAAAAAATGCGGGCTCCGACCAGCAAACTTTCTTTTCGTACAGTTATGTTCTATTGAAATTCTTAGTATTAAAGGGACAGACCGGCTATGTAAGGTAGCTAAACTAACTGAGTATGCAGTGTTGTGGACAAATTATTTAGGATTCATTGAAGACATATTAAACTTTTCCACGATGTAAAATTACAGAGTTTAAGTGCATAGTCGACGTTCAAAATCATGAATTTGGGTCCGGGTACGTTTTCAGAATGGGGGTTTTTGAAATATTTAATAACGACGATGAAAAATAAAGCAAAAATTCTACATTAAACTAATTAGGTGGTGAGGAACATATTTCTCAAAAGAAATTTGTCAATGAATAAATGCTAGAATCAACCGTCTCGTTTTCATCATTATATTGAATTTCTTATTTTCTATGAATATATTCACAGATTTCTACAAACTCTTCAAATGTCGTCTTTTCAATAATAATTCCAGAAAATCTGCAGAAAATATTTGTGAATAATGAGAAAATAGAAACTAATAATTGAACAAGATTACTTATTTCCGATGATAAGATTAATTTTTATTTTCTCAACCTGTTCCTAAACAACTAATTAGTTTAACTGTAGAATTTTGTTTACATTCTTTGTTGTTGTTATTTACTATTAAAAAAACAATTCTTAAAACGTATCCAAAAGTTTTATATGTCTCAAATGAATCCTAAAGACTTTGTCCGCAACACTGCATATTCAGTTCAACTATCTTACATTGCCGGTCTGTCCCTTTAACAAAATTGTTTGAGAAATTGTGTATATATTGTATAATACTGAATCTAGTTTAAAGTTTGGAGGTTAATGTGCAATATTGCTAACATTTCAAAATTGGAACACTACTGATTGCACATATACAATACAATATAAAATGAAGACGACTTTTGTATTTAAGTTTTGATTGTTCAAGGGAGCGACCGGCTATGTATGGTAGTTGAGCTGAGTATGTAGTCTAGTATTGTGGACAAATTCTTTAGGATTCATTAGAGACATATGAAACGATTCTACGATGTATAATTACTGAGCGCAAGCCGCAAAGTCAACGTTCAAAATCGTCTATTTGGATGGATACGTTTTGAGCGTTAGTTTTTTTTAATTATTAAATAACGACGACAATTGTGAAAACAATTCTACAATAAAATAATTGCATAAATAGGCAGGTTTAGAAAAAAAAACTTATCCCTTATCATCAAAATAAATATACCATATTCACTTTAAATTGCTTTTGCTCATCAAAATCTTCCTGTGTATTTTTGTTTTGCGCCTGCTCGGGCTGCAACAGGGTGTAGATAAATAAATTAAAATATATTCTTTTTGTATATATTCATTATTCACTCTCTAATTTCAGAAACATATGTAATGCTGTTTCTAAGTAATCTAGTTATATTTCTCAATAATCAAAACATTTTCAAGAATATATTCACTGGAATTAAACATGTTGATTTAGTAAAATAACATATTTTACAAAGAGTTAAAATGTGAAACCAATCATTTAAAACAAGTCAGCTCCTAACTAATCAAACATGTTTAAAAGAACCCCAATATAGAAAGGACAATATTATAATATTCCAAACATATTATACCTGCATTGCATATGTAGTTTAGGACAATCATCATCTCTATAACAGGGTCCAGAACACAAACAGAAACCCTAAAAATATATATCTTACAATGGAATTTTTAAACAGAACAACTAGGATATGTTTAGAAAAAGGTGTACCGTTGTAAATCGGACATATCCCGCCTTTAATCGACGGTCACTTGTATCTACATCGACAGTTATAAGCTTTAATTTTTTTTTTTTTTGTTGAGCTATACGTTTTCTATTTCATAGGATATACGCTACACGTGGATTTAAAACGGTTCTGTCAATGTTCCAGAAAGCTGTGACTTTCGATCACAATTTGACCAATTAAACATAATTCTGTAGCCTTTTTTCTCAAATACTTTTTTGTTGGCATATTCATTTTGAGTGAAAAAGTATAAAATAAACAATCCGCAAGTTTAAAGATTGTTGAATTATAGACCAAAACACGTATAGTTTAACATGTTTGATTTCAAATAGAAGAAACCGAATGCTGCTCACTCTGGTTAGTCCGGGTGGCTATTTTTGATGGATTTTAAATATGAGATAACATCCGATATGGATATGGATAATGTATGTAACATAAAGTATTATGTATATATCTGATGTAATTGGATGGTGTGTATAAATGGAATAATATTTGTGTCTGTTCAGCCTAAACTAATAAAAAGTTTGCAGCCAGCCTGAAAAAAATGTCAAGTGAAAAATTGGAGGTAGAAGGAAAGGGGGCCAATAAGGGCCAATTGGGGCATTGGGGTAAAAAGTTTAAAATTAAATCCATATTCACAGAAAATCAAATTTTTTTCTACTTTTTTACTAAAAGACATTTTTTATATTATTTCTTTTCAAAAAACTGATATCGATTCAGAAAATCAAGAAATGTTCTGCAAATCTATAAACTTACAATGTTTAACATATGTATAAAACAAATGAAGATCATCTTATAATAAGTAGTATTAAGTTAATATTAAGAAACACGTCAGCAGTCTTAAAAACCAAGGAATCAAACAACTATTTTTATAAGTTTCATCACGTCAAATCTAGCAAATACTGTTAAACCAATAAATGAGTAAATTGCTTTTTGAAATTAAATTTAATGTGACGTGCAAAAATATTAGTTTGAATCGGACACGGATCATATAGTTCTAATATTTATTTGGTAATTTTAATATTTTCTTTATATTAGACTTTTTCTAAAGTTTAATGATTAATTTCAACCGTTTCTAATTCATAATAAATTCAATAAAACTTCCAACAATTCAAAACAGTCTTAAAGTTTTATTATTCTTTAAAATATGTTTATTCTAAAAAGAATTGTAACAACAATCCAAAAACGATTTTTGGTTAGTTTTTTGTTGCATATATCTTCTGTCAAGGTCAAAAAATTTTATTATGTAACAAAAGCAAATGTCTAGAATAAATAATTTAAAGATGTGTATTTTGCACGATATAAAATTTTGAACCTGAAAGAAAATATTGGTAAAAAAACGACTGAATGCACATCACTAGTTAAATATATACATTATGGTCTTCTTTGACTATTGATTGTTTTTTTATGAATTAAGTTTTAAATTGGTTATACTAATTCACACTAAAATGTAAGAAAATTATTTAAGAAAGTTGTCTGAATTGGGTTTATAAAGTGAGTCTTTAGTAAGACCCATTATAAATTCTTCACATTATTTTTTCTACAAATATTGGGTTAAGGTAAAAATATTATTAAGATACAAAATCGACAAGTTCTGGCAATTTTTTCTGAAATTTTTTGACGTGGAATTCCGCAAGTCAGTATTTAAAAATACGGCAAAGGGCAAGTGTTACATTTTTTTGAATTACCTTGCTTAACAATTTACAATTCTTATTGGAAACCCCGGTCCAGACATATTTGAATCCAGACGTTTCGCCAGGGATAGATTATTCAAATCATTTCTCCCTGTCTCAATTCCAATTTTCAAATAGTGTGATGACAAGAAGAAAAAAGATAGAAATGTCAAGAGTCGGAAATATGAAAATGAATTTTCTATGATTTTTCCATTTTTAGTCTTGCTCCCCCCCCCTCACACACATAGAGATCTTTAGTAAAACTTTAGAATTTTTTTAATTATCTTCTAATTAATATATTACTAATTAAATATGTTCTAAAACTTTCGAAAGGGATTGAGTCTTTGCCACAAATTCTTATTTTCTAATTTCTATATCTTTACAACCCAATGTCGTAGATCGTAGATATTTCAAACTATGAATTCCGTTAGATCAAATAATCTAAATTTGAAATATCAAAGTTTTACACCATTGCATAAGGTTACAAATATAAAGGGATTAGAAAATTTGAGTTTGTGGCAAAGACTCAACTCTCTTTGTACAGGCTTAACTTTATTTCATGATACTTTAATTACTTGAATACTGAAACTTGAATACTTTGAATTGAAAAAGTGAAGAAAAAACAAATATTATTTGTAAAGCTTTGCTCCACTTTGTGCAGAAAAAAAACTGACTTTAAAATTTTCCGAAAAAATGCTGATAATTAAAATGGTATGCCTTTAAATCTTTCCATAAAGAGTGCAAAAAAAATTACCAAATAGAGCAGCAGAGAAAAGAGTATAGGGAGATGGCAAGGAACACTCATTTTCTTTCTAGTGTCATCTGAAAATATTAAAAAAAAATATAGATCCAAGACTAATATTAAGATATATAAATCTTTCCAAACATGTACATGTACACAATAAAGTAATATTCCTTTAATATTAAACGAAACGATAACAATTATTCTTCGAACAATACAGATATAATTTCTTTTTACATTCAAAAGATAAGTTTAAATCACACTATAAAGAAACAAGGAATTACCTCCTTTATCCAAAAAGATCAAATTAGGAATTCCTTTAATCTAATTTGTTGAAATTCCCTTAACAAATTACCATGAAGAGGAAAATTAAAATTAAAGAAAAAGATTCCATGATTCCTAAATTCTGTTGAAAATTCCCTTCAGTAACTGGAAAATTATTAAAAATTATAATTTACTATATTACCTGTATATTTACAATCTAATTCATGTAATATATGTCGTAGATCTATTATATTTCAAACTGCGAATTCTTTAAGATACAAATATCAAAGATTTTCACTATCAGGTTGCAAAAGTATAGAGAGTGTCCCGATCTGGCTCCTTTTCTCAATGTAATTTTCTTAACTGTTGGAAATCTACCAAGTCCGTGATATTTTATTATATGAAATTACAGTAAAGACTTGCAGATAGAACGGCTACAAAAAAGCTATGATTATCACTAAGATGGACACGAAGCCTCCTAGCTTAGTAAACTTAGTTTAGAATAGGAGAAGTATGAATGGATTGTTTTATATTTCAAACTGGTAATTAATTTTATTTTTATTAATGTATTTAGTCAATTATTCAAGGCTAACTGTATAAACTTGAAACAAAGCAAGAAATTAATGAAACTTTGTAAATCATGGTGACACAGGACCGAGGGGGGGAGGCGGGGGGAGGCGGGGGTGTCTGGAAGAAGAGGCTTTTCTAAGAAACCTAAATCTTGGTTTAGAGCTTAACTTTTAAGATATACTTCCAGAGTAGAGTGGTTAATTGATTAAGAAGGTTCAAACAGACATGGCTATTGTAGTTTACATTTTAAGCCTTTGTTAGGAACAGAGGCGGCTGTGAAGGAAGGGAGGGAACTTCCACCGCCGGCCCCTGGAAAATGGGGGGGAACGATCAACTCCCTGGAAAATGGGGGGGGAACGACCAACTCCGTGGAAAATTGAGTGAACCTCCTCAAGGAATTGGTTGCCACTAGGGAGAAGCATACAGCTACTAGACACCATGGTATCTTTAAATCAAGTTTTTAAATTGGATTTTAAAAAACGTTCTTCCTGAAGCGTCCCTCAATCGGTCACAAATTTATTTCATGGATCTTAACTTATTAAAGATATTTTCTTTCTATATGTTTGACTATGGCGCCCCTTAATCAGTCAAAAATAACGTTAATAGTTTGTTTCAGGGATCATAACTCAATGAGAAATATCCTCAATAGTACGTACTATCTATATATAAATTTGGCTTGTCTGTTTGTCTGTCTGTCTGTTTGTGTCCAATAAACAGCTGAACCGATCGGGCCCAATTTTTTTGTGGGACATCTAGGGACCCCAGGGAAGGTTTATGAATGATCAAAATTTCAAATATTTGTCTCCATCAAAATTCGATCGTCATTAGATTTTTTAAAATTTTGAAAATCCACGAAATTTTTTGTGAAAATCCGCGAATTATTTTTGTTTTGTTTTACGATGTACACAAAGAGAACATGTTCACAATTAATTTAGAAGATGGGCGCGAAAAAAGGCAGCCGATCTAATGTAAACAAACATGAGTTAGTATACGGTGAATCTTCATCTAACGCCAGAGATGCACCAAATGTCTATTTATCATTTGTGTTATTGTTTACAATCTTTATTATTGTTGTTACGCAAAAACTAGTTCTCCAGCAGTCCAAAAACGTCAATGCAAAGTGTACGGAAACCCTATTGCCCCCTCCTTGTATTCAATTCTCCTTGGATCGGAGTATCTTGTATATGAAGTATTCTGGAGTACATTTACGTGATTTATACTCCTGTACATACAAAATACCGGATTATACTGTACATGAAGTATGCTGGAGTCTAGCTGTTCAGTGTTTATGTACTATACTGGAGTACCCTAACATAAAGTATCCTGGTTTACCTTGTAAATGAAGTATTTTGGAGTATACCTGTACGTACATGTAAAAAAAATTTACTTAGATACTCTGTACATAGGTTTACTGATGTACCCTGTAAATTAAGTATCCTAGATTACCTTGTACATGAAGTATATTGGAGTACCATGTAAATGTATTATACTGGGGTACCTTGCTCATGAAGTTTACTGGTTTACCATGTACAAGTGATATAATGGGGTACAGTTCATAAATTATACTGCATTTCCTTGTACATTCAATGTACTGCAAGTGCCCTGTGTTTGAAGTATACTAGAGTACCCTGTACGTATAATAAATATAAAGTGTATACTGGAGTATATATACTGCAAATGTATACTGGAGTGTATATTTGAGTGCATTCTGGAGTGTATATTGCAGTGTATATTGGGTGTATACTGGAGTGTTTACTGGAGTGTATACTGGAGTGTGTATACGGGAGTGTGTATACTGGAGTGTATACTGGTGTGTATACTGGAGTGTATACTTGTGTGTATACTTGAGTGTATATACTGGATTGTGTATACTGGAGTGTGTATACTGTAGTGTGTATACTGGAGTGTGTATACTGGAGTGTGAATACTGGAGTGTGTGTACTGGTGTGTGTATACTGGAGTGTGTATACTGGAGTGTGTATACTGGAGTGTATACTGGAGTGTGTATACTGAAGTGTGTATACTGGAGTGTGTATACTGGAGTGTATACTGGAGTGTGTATACTGGAGTGTGTATATTGGAGTGAATACTGGAGTGTGTATACTGGAGTGTGTATACTGGAGTGTGTATACTGGCGTGTGTATACTGGAGTTTGTATACTGGAGTGTGTATACTGGAGTGTGTATACTGGAGTGTGTATACTGGAGTGTTTATACTGGAGTGTGTATACTGGAGTGTATACTGGAGTGTATACTGGAGTGTGTATACTGGAGTGTGTATACTGGAGTGTGTATGCTGGAGAGTGTATGCTGGAGTGTGTATACTGGAATGTTACCTGAAATCTACTGGTTGGTACCAACACTATATAAATATATACCCTCTGAAGTCTGTATACCGCCAACAAACCTTTACTTTCCTTTTACTCATAGATAGATAGATAGATAGATAGTTAGGTAGATAGAATAGATAGATAGGTAGATTTGAAAGCAAAGCAACGTTTATTTCAATGGAATCGGGAATATTTAATGATTTTACCAAATAAACAAGACTTCTATAAAAAAAATTAGGAGATTTAATTGGAGCATTTTTTTGTTTTTAGATTCATATGGGATCCAATAAACGTTGTTATAGTTATGATAAAAGGGCTTTTCATTCAAATTAATTTATCAGTGTCTAAAAAAAGAAAAACCCAAATGCAAAACATATCTAAAAAGATTCTTTTAAACATGAAAATTTAAAGTCTTTTGTGTGAACACATTGAGATTCATAAGATAATCCCTTTATGTAAATTGTCCAAACTGGCAAAAAAAATGGTTTACTCTCACAGGTAGAAAAACTCGGGTTGGGCAATTAATTTCGATATAGTTTATATCCTCTTCAGTCCTTAAAGAATGGTGGTATTTTAAATAAAAATTATACTTGGATTTAGTAAAAATCTTACTGATATCCTAAAATATTTTTTAAAATATTGATTTACAGATTTAAATAAATATTTCAATAAGAAAAAACATTTTAGTTTCCAAATTTTTTTTAGCTTTTGTGTAAAGGGTTATCCACGAAAAATGAGACTTTTTAATTCTGCTGATCTTTTAGTTTTATTGTAGTCTTTTATAAGAAAAAATAGGAAGCAATATATCTAAATGATTAATCTATCAACCAAGAGAAAAGAACAGTTGTCTCTAAAGGCTTAAATCGGAAGTATGAAGTATATTAAGGGTGACCCTGTATCTCTGTGTGAATTGCTTTGAAGTTTACTGAATCTATATTGTTATCAGAGTTTAATGTAAAAAGTACAATTGTTAAAAAAAATATTTATATCCTTGGTATCTGTTCGAGCATTAAATTAACCCTATTCAATTGGTCTTAAACCTCAGCATATGTTGGGGGGGGGGGAGGATAAGAGTGAGCATTTTTATCGATTTCAGTCTATGTTTACTCTCACGTTATATAACAGTTTGCATCATCGATCATCGTCCCGATTACTCCATTCAAACTTAAAAGTAAATCCCCATACTTTTTTAACCTAATGGTGTAATCAGGGTACATAGGTATGAGGATTAGAAAATTTGAGTTTAAAGAAACCGGTACATTTCAAGTTTAGTTAAATTAATTGAATTTATTTATTTTAAAAATTATTTGACTTACAATGTTTTATTTGCAGAAAAGAACAGGTTCGATGCGTATCAAACTATAAAAATGGTCCGATCTAACATACACTGGTCCGATCTAACATACACTGGTCCGATCTAACATACACTGGTCCGATCTAACATACACTGGTCCGATCTAACATACGCTGGTCCGATCTAACATACACTGGTCCACCTAAACATACATTGCATAATTAGTGAGATTTTTTATTTAATCTACACTGGAAACTTTTTGAAAAGTATTGTGATTCTTGTTTTTTTAGAAGTATAGAATAGATAATGTTGCTATGGAGGCATGCAAAGATTGATGTTTAAACAGTGTTGATTATGATTAGAAAAAAGGTATTATGTGTATTAAAAATTGTATTTAACATATTCATTTTAAAAATTTTAATATAGAAAATTTCATTTTGATATTATTACATGTTTTGATAAATTATAAAGACTTTTTCTGATTAATAAATTGAAAGCATCTTTATGCAAAGCTTTATCTGTTTTAAGTTCCGCGTACTTTGTCCCAATAGATTTACCCTCGGCTAAAATAATTGTTTGAACAATTGAAGAAAATAGATAAGAGAACATTCGTTATTATCAGTACTTACTGGGACAGTTAGGGACAATCAGCTAATTAATTAAGTAAAATTTAATTCTAAAAATATTTAAAATCTTTCTTTGTAACATTTTAAACTCTATTTGTATTGGCTCATTCCTTGTGAATCAAAATAAATAATATTTCATTTATAAATCCTGATTTTGACCTCGTGTCTCTAGTTCACGAAGATGCGTGGCATTGTGCTAGCACTAGTATTTGTCGTCTTTGCTTCCGCAGACAATATTGAGGAGAACGTCTGCTATACTCATGTTGAGGTAAAGTGTCCTACTTTTGATTATTAACGGTAGATCATTTCTACGGAATATATAACTTGCCATGCTCTTGCTCTAGAATAAAAATGGGAATTTTCTGGACAAATCAAGAGAAAACGTTAAAATAGATTTTGTCAATAGAAAATTTTAAATTCTTTGATTATATCTTTTTTTTAAATCTTTTGGATAAAACTAAAGCATCTGTTCAAGCCCCGCCCTATCCCCACACACCAAAAAAATTTGCGCCTCTTTTTTAATGAAGGAAACAATTGAAAAATTAATTGGTTTCTTTCATAAGCTACTTTGATTTTATTTATAGAAATCATTAAAAGTTATACTAAATTATACTTCAAAAATTGTTGGCAACATTTTTAATTTAGCATTTTAATCACACTAATTTTCTTAAATTCATTGATAGATGAAAACTCCATATAATACATTTTATGAAAATAGGAAATTTTAAAAGTTTGTTTTAAATTCCATATTTTTGCCAATTTGTGTAGAATAAATGCTCTGAGCCAGTTGAGTCCTGGACTACAGGGGGCTGCAACTCTATTCACGGAGGTTAGAAAACAAAATTTTATAAGACCATTTTTATTCCATACCTAATTTAACAGAATAAAATTGGACTTGTTTATTGTGTTTTGGGATAATCAATAAATCATTCTTTAAAGTTATTGTTGAAAAAATGCTAGTTTTCATTTCATAAGGACAGCAAGATTGTTTAAGAATCATAAGAAATTAAAATTTTAATTTTTGTTTTAGTAAAATTTCGATACACTGTAATGAATTGTAATAGTTATTATCAATTCTCATCAACGACATTTTGAAAAATAAAATGATCATGTCATCTAAATCCGCCCTTTCATCACGTAACAAAAAACAGGGTCTGTAGCTGCTTAAAGAAATAATCGAATATATTTTTATCCCTTGGTTTCGAAAATCGATGAACCTTCAGAAGTTGACTAAAAATAATTTTATTAAGGTTTTTCCGGGAATTCTAATAACCTTCACAGAATAATTGTTGATGATTTCACGGACAGCATGGCATATCTGATTATGGTATAAAACATTTTATAATTAATAAAAGTTTAAACTGTATATTAATAATAACTAGTTTCTGAAACACTGGAAATGTATGTGCACACTGCACACTCAGTATAAAGGAAAAATTACTGATTTCTATCGCGTATTATTTGTTCTATCCATTTTTTAATTTGTTTTATGTTTATATCCTTCGTTTAGTAAACCTTAGTGTGGTTTAATTTCATAAACCGCTCAGTAAACTACACGTTCTTGCTTTCAAATGAATAGAGTTTTTTCCACAACCTCAAATTTTCTAATTTCTATATCTCTGCAACCAGTTGGTATAAACCTTTGATATTTCAAATTTAGATTATATGATCTAACAGAATTAATAGTTTGAAATATCTAAGGTCTACGACATTTGATTTCCAAGATATAGGAATAAGAATATTTGAGTTTGTGGCAAAAACTCAGTTCCTTTATTATTCATTCTTTGATAAAAGCTTGATGTAATCTCGATATGTTTTATTTTTGACAAAACTTTAAAAGTTTTTATTTGTATGAAGGGCAACCAGGGCCCAGGGACCAACTTTAAAGGGAGTGACCGACTATGTGAGGTAGTCGACCTGAGTATGCAGTGTTGTGGAAAACTTCTTTCGGGTTCATTTGAGACATATAAAACTTTTTAAAGATCTGTAAATCCTGAGTTTGAGCGCAAATTCGACATTCAAAACCCCTACTTTGGGAGTGGATACGTTTTCAGAATTAGTTTCTTTTTAATTATTAACTCGCTATTAATTAAATCTGTTTCCAGATTTAGGACCTAGTTGAACTACGTAGAGGTTGACTTAGTTGAACCATTTTTCTTCAACAATTAAACCTTAAATTTGTTCAAGAAAACATATACATGACATTCAATCCAATGTCTTATATGTAATATTTGTTACAATAGCTTGATAAGATGACTAGACATCATCCAGCTGTTCAAATATTATGGGAACCTCATACTATAATTAATATCAGTATTTAATTACTTTAGGCCTCAAGTTACAATACAGATGTGAAGAATCATATGGGATTCCATAAATTATTTATGGAAAAGAGTGACAAGATGTGGGCAAGGTAAACAAACAAGATTTTAATCTGGAATCAATTCATTAAAAAGATTTTGATTCCTAAAATATTTGAACCCGGCAGTTTAAAGTGCAAAAACAAACTTTTTGAATGAGATAGTTTTTGATAACACTTTTAAAAAATAATTTTTCTTCAAATGTTTCCAGAGGAAAGGATATGATGCAGTATGTTCTCCAAAGAGGAGGCAAGATGGGAGGTGGATTCCAGGTATACAGTTTTTCTATTCATTTCATCATTATTTTTCAAATTATTATCTATAATGATGTTTATTTACAAAACACGCTGTTTTAAAAACTTTTATGTGAAAATTATTTATCACCTGTTTTTGAAAAGCAAGTAACCGAGAATTATTATGATCATTATTTTTATTTTTGCTTGAAAAATGAGATTCATGAATACAAAGAATAAATTTTAATTCTTGAAAAATAAACTTCATTTTCCATTTTTTAGATTCCCCCAGTTGGAGCTTCGCAGATGCTTCTAGGACTAGATTATAATGACGAAATTAAGGAAACCATACATGATCCATGATCCATGATTTACTATCCATGATACACGATCCATAATCCATGATTCACGATCCATAATTCATGATTTACCATCCTTGATACACGATCCATAATCCAGGAACTTTGATCCGTGATACATGGTTAATGTTGATGTTGATGTTGATGTTGATGTTGATGTTGATGTTGATGTTGATGTTGATGTTGATGTTGATGTTGATGTTGATGTTGATGTTGATGTACTGGTTTCCAGGGACTAGGAATAACATTGGACCTTCTCAAGCATAGAGCTGAAGACACTTTGATTGCATACATGCACAGCTACAAGTAACTTTTTCTTTTAATCTGTTCTGAATAAGAAAATCCTGACTTTTTTCCACGGATCATTGCTATAAAAATCCATCAGATAATAAAGCTCAGATTCAGATCTTGAATTTTATTTCAAATAAAAAAATATGGATTCTTTTCAAGGTTTAAAAGAAAATTTTTGTGAATCTTTGATTGAATGTCTACTTTTATAAAAGTTTTTTAAAAATTAATTTTGAAATTTAATACCATTCATAATGTCTGGTGAAAGCAACCTTTCAAACTAGAAATTTATTTTTATTAAAAAACATAAATTTTAATTTATCTTCGTGATATTCTGAAAACGTTCATTTAAAATTTGTAAAAATTTGAATTCATTTTACGGCGACAATAGACAAATCTCAAGTGACTCTACATTTAAAAAAGAGTGACATGTCTTATTTACAATGGTACCATTTAATCTTTATCTGAACGTCAATAAAGATATTGTCGATTTTCCATCTTGAAAACTGCTGAATTCTGGCTAGTCAATTAAACAGAGAACCCATTGTAAAAAATCATCAATTTTTATGATAGAAAAAAAATATCTTTAACAAATTTGCTCTCAGGAATGTTTAAAGTGTATTTTTTAAATTATGGTTCACTTGAAAATGCGTCAACATGTTATACTTTCAGAAAGGTATTGCGAGTCTTTGCCACAAATTTAAATTTATTAAATCATATCTTTACAACCTGAGCTGGGAACTTTAGAATGGATAGCCTTTAATCCCAACTACTTAATCCGAATATCCACTGTGGAAACTTTTAATTTCAGTCCTCAATCCACTCTTTTTCTCTTTCTTTGGATATCCGTACATTGTTTCTTCCAATGAGAGTGTAGGAATATAGTTCGTAAGCTTATTGACCAATGACAGCCCTGAAAATAAATTTCTAACAAATAAAAAATTTGTTGTCGGCCATTTTGTACTTTTATCGGTGAAGAAAAATACTTAATAATACGTTTGAGATTCTTTTTTTAACCAATTTTAACTAATGTATTAATAAATAAATGGGTGAGAAATTAAATTCCGGCCCTTCCAGTCAAGAAAAACAACAAATCTGGCGTTCCTATAATCAAATTTCTTGATCTAAATATTTAATCTCGAGACTAACATAGTCTCGAGATTATGTCAACAGATAATTACATGTACTTTATTCAGGACTAAATCCGATGGAACTGATTCTAGTTTTGATCCTGCAGTGAGTATCCAAAAAGACTTATTATTCATTTAACAAAAATATATTCAAAGTAAATTATTTGAAGTTAAGAACGTATGAAATTACAGGGCAATTTGGACTGGTATACAACTAAGATTTATTTATCCTGAAGGGAAAATTAAATAATATAATATCCCGCAAATCAAGACGGTAAAAAATAAAAAATAAATCTGTCCGTAGACTGCTCACAAACTCGAGGAACTATCTGAAGGATATGCTGAAGAAATCAGAGATACTGCTGAGAAGCTCAACACACTGGGCAGGTGAGGGGACAACAAATGAATTTAAAATTGCACACTGAGTAGGACAGGGGACATGTGTACGTTGAGCGAATGAGAATAAAACTTGTCAAAAATACACAAAAATTAATTTGAAAAGTGCTCGCTGTGCAAGTTCTGGGACAAAATTACCTAAAAATACACACTGAGCAGGTTAGGGGACAAAATTACCTAAAAATACACACTGAGCAGGTTAGGGGACAAAAAGTACAAAAAAAATTAAAATGTGGAAATCATTTATTGGACACTGATTGATTTAAAGGACTAAATGGAACAAGTCACTAAAAATGAATATAATTTTAATGATATATTATGATGATTAGTTTAACATTCTCACTGGGGACGTTGAGATGAAAAAAATAAGAAGTTGACCAATAACTATATGAAAATTTATTCTAAAAACTTTCTGTTTAAGAATGGTAAAGACTGATTCCAGCAAAAATCTTGCTCTACATCTATTCGACCAAGCGCTTCTGGTAAAAACATTATTAAGCTGGAGTTTTTATACCCCATTCCCCCCCCCCACAAGAATATTTGTTTGTTATCAGAACCTCACAGAAACCGAATGTTACATGCATCGGAAGAAATAACCAAATCTTCTAAAAATCAAAGAAATCAAAATTAGGATAATTCTTTATAAAATAAATAGTTTTTTTTCAATGAATATTGTTGTTAATGAAATATTTTTAGGGATAAGTTTACTGAAGAACATGAAGAAGAGAGTAATGTAATCATGATGATATATTTTATAATTGGCAATAAAATTTTAACATTTTTATCAAGATTTCTTGACGTTAAAAGATATAAAATTTAGAATATTTGAGAGGGAAGTGCTAGGTTCAATACAAAATATAACTAAATATTTTCCTAAATTTTATACAAATATTATGGGAAACTTCATATGAAGTTTAAAACTATGTCAACTCCCTCATTTATGCATACAAATATGTACTCTTTGTGTATGCCCTACTCCCCCCCCCCTCCCTAGTTCCCAATTGGATACCAGATACTGAAGGATATTGTTATAAATGGATATAAAAGGCATAATAATTGATAATCCGGAATCATAAATTATAAATGACCATATACCCTGCGGTCTCCCCCCCCCTGGTATACAAAGTTGATAAAAAAAAAATATTTAACTTACTTTTTTCCATTTATGTAATGTTTAGTGTTTATCGATTAAATCAAATTAAAAATACACGAAGTGAGGAAGTATTTTTAGTCATTCTCAAATTTTCGCGGATTTTTGATTTTCTGTTTAAAATCGTCCATTTTCAAATATAATAAATGTAAACATATTTTTCTGGGCAAAATTTCTGAAATTTCACCGTCATAAACCTTCCCTGGAGTCATGTCAAGTTTGGGCCTAATCGGTTCAGATGTTTTGACGTTTATTGGATTAAATGGACAATCAAAATAAAATTGTAGATATCTGACAATATTAAAACTAGTTTTCAATTCTTCTAAAATAAAAATTTTCCTGGCATTCAAAAATAAAATTTTTAAAAACAACGATAATATGTGTATTTTAAAAACCAATGAGAATATGTGAATTTTAAAAACCAATGAGAATAAGTGTATTTTAAAACCAATGAGAATATGTGTATTTAAAAACCAATGAGAATATGTGTATTTTTAAAACCAATGAGAATATGTGTATTTTAAACCAATGAGAATATGTGTATTTAAAAACCAATGAGAATTTGTTGACTTGGTTAATGTATACCATACCTTTTTATCCCACGATTGTTAGATGTGTTAGATTTCCTTCTTAAAGTCTTTATCCCGTTGATGAAGTGAGAGTAGCTATATTTTTATTAAATTACTGAAACCTTCAAGATATAATTAGCAATTATTTTCTACATCCAATATTACAATTCAGATGATCTGGGACAATATATATTAATATGTATATAACTTCTTTTATAAGATATGCCCTAATGTTAATTAGAAAACTGATGCTGGGTCTAGGTGCTGGAATCAATGATCCAGTGTGTCTAAAAAAGTTGATGCAAAGCCTGTGTATCTGTAAGATGATGTATTCTATCTGATTATCTAGCTGTAAGATGATGTATCCTATCTATCTATATCTTTGCATCTGTGTATCCGTAAGATAGTGTCTCCTATCTGTTGTATCTGTGAGATGATGTATTCTGTATGCCGATCATTTATCTGAATATCTGTAAAATGAAAAATTCTATTTATCTATCTTTGCATCTGTGTATCTGTAAGATGATGTGTCCTATCTGTTTATTTATCTATCTGTGCATCTGCAAGATGATGAATTCTATTTTATGTAGGCATGTTAATCTGTGGCCCGTGATGATGTATTCTATTTATCCATGCTTCTATCTGTTTATCCGTAAATTCATGCATTCTATCTATCTATCTATCTATCTGTCTATCTATCTATCTATCTATATATCTATCTATCTATCTATATATCTAGCTATCTATCTATCTATACATCTAAATATCTATCTATCTATCTATCTATCTATCTATCTATCTATCTATCTATTATATTTATATATCTATCTATGAATCTGTAAGATGATGTATTCTATCTTTCTATCCATCTATCTGAGTATCTGTAAGATGATGTATTCTATCTGTGTAGTAAGTAAGGTGTCCTCAAGAGACTACGGTTCCAAGACTAATGAACTCCGGCAACCCCTGCTCAGAATATTCTAGTAGAGATTTCTAATTGTTTGTTCATTTATCTATTCATCCTTTTACACTTCAAGTCTATCCATCAACCCAAATACATCCTAAACGCTTCATTCATATCTCTTCAACTATTCATCCTTCTCATTCACTATCACTTCTTTGTAATCCTACTCTTCATTCATCTCTAAACTATTCATTCTTCTCATCTACCTTCACTTCCTTGCAATTCTACTCTTCATTCATCCTTCTCATCCACCTACACTTCACAATCCTACTCTTCATTCATCTCTCATCTATTCATCGTTCTCATCCACTTTCACTTCTTCACATTCCTAGTCTTCATTCATCTCTCAACTATTTATCCTTCTCATCCACCTGCACTTATTCACAATCCTACTCTTCATTCATCTTTAAATTATTCATCCTTCTCATCCACCTTCACTTCTTCACAATCCTACTCTTCATTCATCTCTCAACAATTCTTTCTTCTCATCCACCTACACTCTCAACTATTCATCCTTCTCATCCACATTCACATCGTTACCATCTTACTATTAATTCATCTCTTAAGTATTCATCCTTCTCATACATCTTCACTTCTTCACCATCCAACCTTCATTCATCTATCAACTATTCATTCTTCTCATCCACCTTCACATCTTCACCATCCTTCTCTTCATTCATCTCTAAACTATTTATTCTTCTCATCCACCTTCACTTCTTTACCATCCAACCTTCATTTATCTCTCAGCTATATTCATCCTTTTCATCCAACTTCACATCTTCACAATCCTACTCTTCAATCATCTCTTAACAATTAATTCTTCTCATACACCTTCACTTCTTCACCATCCTACCTTCATTCATATCTCTCAGCTATATTCATCCTTTTCATCCAACTTCACATCTTCACAATCCTACTATTCATTCATCTCTTAACTATTCATTCTTCTCATGCACCTTCACTTCTTCACCATCCTACCTTCATTCATCTCTCAGCTATATTCATCCTTTTCATCCAAATTCACTTCTTCACAATCCTACTCTTCAATCATCTCTTAACTATACATTCTTCTCATCCACCTTTACTTCTTCACAATCTTACTCTTAATTCATCTCTCAACTATTCATTCTTCTCATCCACCTTCACTTCTTCACAATCCTACTCTTCAATCATCTCTTAACTATACATTACTATTCATCACTTCACGTCCATCCATCAACCCACATACATCCTAAACTCTTCATTTATATCTCTCTCAACTATTCATCCTTCTCATCCACCTTCACTTCTTTGCAATCCTACTCTTCATTCATCTCTCAACGTTATTCATTCTTCTCATCCACCTTCACTTCTTCACAATCCTACTCTTCATTCATCTCTCAACTATTCATCCTTCTCATCCATCTTCACTTCTTCACAATCCTACTCTTCATTCATCTCTCAACTATTCATCCTTCTCATCCATCTTCACTTCTTCACCATCCATCCTTCATTCATCTCTCACACCTATTCATACTTCTCCCACTTACCCACTTATCTATCCCAATTGGATTTTCATTCATATTTTTTAAAGTTTGATTTACCAGTTCTTAATTTTAAATTTCAATCAATAATGTTAGTCTGATGATCATCGATCCTTTTTCTTATCGAAATAAAAATAGTACATAAGACCCAATTTGATTAGCTGCACACAGTTAAAAAATAAATGTAGTATTATTAAAAAATATTATTAAAATGTTTTGATTTGGTTGGTCTGAAGATGCAGCAGGGATAGAGTATTATTATTAGAGTATTAATAAATTTGTGACCCAAAAGCCAATTACTAACAACATGTTATTTTTTTTGGCTGTAAAACCCTACAAATGAGGGATGTCTGGAAAAATTAGAAGGACGCCCCCCCCCCCCCCAAAGCTGTGGTGAACTTTTGGCTCGCGTAAATACGCCAATAGTTTTGTTTGGTTCACCCCCTAGCGGGTCGTTGTTAACTCTCTTAAAACCCGTATTAAGAAAAAAAATCAAGTTTCAAATTTATATTAAACCTAGAAAGGCTGGGGGGTCTGAATCTAGGCTTAGACTGGAGGGCGTCGAAGCCCCCCCCCCTTGAAAAGGCCTTAGAATAAAGGGATAGGGTTGCAATTCATGATTATAATTTAAGGCCAAATTATTGAAAAAAATTAGACCACCAACTTTAAAAGAAAAAAAAGGTCGGAAAAATGTAGAGAATCTTTTTTGTTTTTGACAAATAATCAGAAATATGACACGTGTTTTTAAATACATTTTTCAAGGGCTTTTCAATATTGTAATTTTTAGATCTTTACTTTGCCCTTACAACAAAAAGGTTATGGGCTCTTTTAGGG